AAAATAGTGGGTGTCAGTGTTGCACAGACGACTCGCATTTATCTACATACAGGGTGTTCCGTAAGCTCATGATCAAAAGGGTACTGCGATATTCTCTGGACCAAACGAAGACGATCTGACCTAACTTTTATTAACAACAAATGTCTGGCTCCTCTGCTATTGATGGTTAAAGTTTTTCAAAAAATTTATCCTTTTCGAAATATCGGGTGAATGGTACGATGTATTTTAATTAAACTCGCAGTGAATTTGTTCTTATGTAAGACTCATATTTTGATGAAACAGTCGAGTTCAGCCGTTTTGGATCAGTGGTGAATTCTTGAGTGTTGTGGTACAAAAACTACCAGAACTTTTTAGTTGGAGGATGAAATCAACTCATTTTTTTTAGGTTGATGCACTAATCATTTGTTCACAATTGCGTGCACTTTGTAAAATCTTGTAGCATTCATAGCTTTTGCGTACAAAAAATATGTCTGTTTTCTAGTCACTTAGCAATGCTAGACATTTACTGCAAATATGCGCCGCGTAAAGGCGTACGATTTCACGCAAATTGTCTTCGCAAAACCGTAATACTTTGACCATGTCGGTCACTTCTTCATTAGAAAAGATTATTCAAAACGAATGTGTGAGATTGATTGACAATTATTTGATGCCTGGTATCACGATATTTGCAGTTAACGTCTGACATTGTTAAGTGGCAAGGTAACAGAAATATTTTTTTCTCTAAAGCTATGAATGCTACAAGATTTTACAAAGAGCACAAAATTATGAACAAATGATTAGTGCATCAGCCTAAAAAAATGAGTTGATTCCCTGCACCAAATAAAAAGTTCCGGTAGTTTTTGTACCACGACACTCAAGAATTCACCACTTGTCCAAAACGGCTGAACTCGATTGTTTCATCAAAATATGAGTCTTACATAAGAACAAATTCACTGCGAGTTTGACTAAAATACATCGTACCATTCTCCCGATATTTCAAAAAATATAAATTTTTTGAAGAACTTTGACTATCAATAGCAGAGGAGCCAGACATTTTATGTTAATAAAAGTTAGGTCAGATCGTCTTCTTTTGGTCCAAAGAATATCGCAGTACCCTTTTCATCATGAGCTTACGGGACACCCTGTATAACTTTCAACTCAAATCCAGTTTCGCATTTTTATTATCTAGACAAAAAACCTGAGTGATCAATTTGTCGGCCAAAACGTCGCCAAATCAATCACATGGTATGCATTTAAAAGAACTAGAAAAAATCTGGGAGTTAGTGTCGATATCTCATAATCTAACAGTGCTATTTTGTAAAATTTAGTATCAATGCGTAGAGCTTTAAAAACTAATAAAATCTTGCCCAAAATCTAGAACAATTTTTGTTCTCTACTACTATCATTTTTAGATTTATTTGCAAAAAACTAGTTCGCGTGCTAAAAAGTTTGCAAAATCAGGATCTCGAAATATTTATTTGTCATCAAATTTGACGACTTTTGACTTGTCTGAGTTCACGGAACTTATAATTCGTACTGTTTAGAAGATAGCAATAGTGGTCGTAGCAATTGGACCACCCTGTAGATATAGGATGTGTTTCAGGCAGATTGAATGCACATTTCAAAGTTTAAATAGTTGATAAACGTACCTGTATTCAATGCCTGATCCAGGACAGCTGATTGGACAACGTTAAAACAGGGATATTGACTAAATATGCTTTGGTACGGCAATGGTATTTCGTCGATAGAGCGCAAATCGTTCTGGGAAGGCATTTTATTCAAGTTTTTCCAATTTATACTGTAGCCTTCAACCTAACGATTTGACAGTTAAAAGTTTTTGATTAACGTGATTTAACTCTTCTCTTATCTATGGTTAAACTGCATTAAACTTTTTTGGCAATTTTATCGCATGGACTATTTGATAACAGAATAATTCAAGAACGTCACCGAGCTGTAAAATTCGTGCAGCTCTGTTTTGTGCAGTTTAATTCAGGAACAAACGCAATTAAGAGTATAATTGTGTCACAACAGTCTGTGGCTGATGAGCATTAAATTGACATCTGCCAGTTTGTAGCTGTTGCCCTTAGCAACGACAGTATAAATACAATACATTCGGCGATTCTTTCCGTTTAAAACCACTGCAAATGAATTATAAATCTAGACGTTCATAAAATAAATAAAGAAAGGCCAATCAATACATCGATTACTGAAATTTCCATGAGGAAGTAGTAGACGTTTCCATTGTGTCCAAAGCATTTGTGCTCCATACATTTTTTATTTCTATATTGGTAAGTGTAGGTATGTAGGTGTCTGATTGAATTTGCATTTAATTATAATTTTCCATTATCTAATATCTGCTTAACGAGGGATTAATTAATAAATTGCACCAACTTATTCTGATAACAATACCAAGTGTATACCTATAAAGTCGAGAACGGCCAAGAAGCGACTTCCAATAAAAATCCCACTTTATTGGCGGATAAATCTGTGAAAGTGCGTATAGTGTAATACCGGCTTTATACATTTTCTGTACCCCAAAATAACGCACATAAATAGAAAATGTAGGTATCGAAAAATTGATAAAATAATAACTTGGAAAAAATACCAAAACTCGCCAAGAAATCGAATCAATTACTTTAATATTCTTCTTTACTTCCTCGAATTGTAACATTTTGATGAAAGACACGTACGTAATCGAAAAAGTTCTACAATAATTGCGTCACTGCCAAAAAGCTTGGGGCAAACTGTAGCTTTATGCGCAGAAACGGTCCAAGAATGGATCGGGAGTGATTGCATGCGTGTTGAGACGTTGGATGTTGGAAACGCGGTAAATAAATTACAACTTCTAGGCACAAAGTTCTATTATGATCGCCTTGCACTAAGAATTAATTTAGAACCTGTACGGCACAAGTTCCAGCCGTTTTGGGATTAAAGAAAAAATTAGCTGCCCTGACAAGCTCAGGAGAGAAAAAAATCGTCTGTTACTAGACTAGACTCGAAATCTAATCTCGTTCGACCAGTTCTGTTGTTCATATATTTTTATATGCTCTTTCCAGAACATTCCACCTATTTTCGGCAGTTGCTGTTATTTTTATTTTCAGTTCTAATAAATTTATTACTAAAAGTGATCACTCTAAGGGATTCGATAGATAACAAGCAGATTGTTATTAGAAGCATAAAAGAATATTCTCTATACTTACAACAGAAACTAAAAGAAAATCAGGAGCATTTAAAATATTTACAGTTGGCAATCACTGCAAATGCTAATACTGACTATACAAAAATGTTTCCTGTCTGAATAAATAACTATTTTGCAATGGATTTTTGGTGCTTCATTTTTTAATCTCTTATAATTAATTCTTTGCGAGTCAATTATTAGAAATTTTCGTCATTTACAGCATTTAATTTTCCACACCTGCAGACTAGAAATTATGTTCAAATATCAACTTATCGATAGCAGTGGTTACTTGTTTATTTTAATTAAAGCCTAAGTCTTATATATTTACTTCCAACTAGAAATGACCGAATATAAAACCATTGCAAAATCATCATCCCAAGATCGAGCAGACCTTGTGGCATATTGGAGTATACCATTAATTGATGGTATTCATGTGGTGGAATTCGAGCATGGCACAACAACTGGTAAAAGAGTATTAAGATTAGACGGAACAGTGAGTTGGTCAATATGAACTAAAGCACTAATTCCCATTACTGCACGGAACTTGATTTAAGGAAGTATTGCGCAAAGAATGGATGTTTAAGTTGGTTGGTGACATAAAATTTACCATCGGTAAGCAAGAAGCAAAATGTGAGCTCAGAGTTGACCCTATACCACCATTCGCATTTTCTTACTCCTTATGGGTCGATGGTAAACCTATCGATAAATTTATGGAAAAGCAGCTGGACTCTATTAAATCCTGGAGCACGGTCGCAAATGGAAAACGTTATGCGGTGGTTTTTGGTAAAAGATACCTTTGTTGAAAATAGTTTTTATTATCAGAAGCCATCTAAGCATATGCCATCTAAGCATGCTGAAGAAAATGTCGTTCTTCGACGAAAATTCACAAATTATTCGCTGTGCTCAAATCAAATTGCGAATATAAGTCCACGATGACTAGTATGTAAAAATATTGCAATAACCTCCGTTCGATGGTGTAATAACCTACTTGAAAGCAATTGGTATACTATGGGTAGTTTGCTTCTGGTAACCAAATGAATGAGTTTAAAATTTTTATTACTCCCCATTTTTTAACAATTAATTAAGTGAAAACAATATTAGTAGCGCTGCACTTTTGACCGTTTGATTGCACGCAATTTGAAATCACGATTTGATCATCAATCATCTCATTGAGTAAATCCCCGAAAATTTTTAGAAAAACATACACTAGAGATATGGGTAAACGGGCAAACTGTTGACGTCGAACGGAACTTCGTAGAAGATGGAACAGAAATGAACTTTCAACTAGCAAATTCGAACGCTACTCTTCGAAGTGCACCAGCACCAGGCCCAGGCCATAAAGAAATTACATATCGTCTTTTTGTTAATGGTAGATTGATATCAGATGATATCAACGAAACGCAACCTTGAATCTTGCATGTGTTCAATTTACTTGTTCACGATCGATTTTGTTAAAGTATTATATAACGATACAAGATTATTAGGTTTTACTGCAGGTACACTATATCGAAAAAATAAAATACAAAGCTAGTCATAAATTGCAAAAAAGCAATGACAAAATAGTTTGTGCGTAAACTTCTCGTTTTAGTGGGTTTGCTTATGGCTAATCTTAGTTACATTTTAAATACGAATATATTTATTTTTACGCTTCCTTTCCTGGGGTCCATTGAGGTTCAACACACGCTAGACGATTTCTTTTTATTCCATCTTTTCTGTTGACAGATTGCAAGTGGGCACACTTTTATTCACAAGTTTGAATTTACTCTTTATCCTTCTTTGCTTTAATGAAAAAGACAATTCTACAAAATTATGCAGTCGATTGCTGATGATAAGTAAAGTCAAACCGCCCCTGATAACAATAAAACGATGATGAATAAATACTAAACGATCGTTGACAATAAAAATTGTTAGATCCGAATCCGTTTGGTTTATTTGCACAACATGCTCTAAAAATATTGGTATTGCTTTTTTCAAATATAAAATTAAACAAATAATTCATGATTAAAAGTTTAATTGAAAATACATGTGCTGAAATTGTAAATTAATAAGTAAACGTGATAAGCTATAAACAAGAACACTTATTAAGAAGTAAAATAAATCGCAACAAATATATAAATAAATTAAATACAAAAACAGAAAAAACAATAAAAGCATAGGTATAAGAAAAATGTATTGATTTTTTAGAAGCTAAGACTTGGTAAAATAGCTAAGTTTAGATAAACATAACTGGTGATGTGCTTAATAAAATCAATACATCAAAATAGAATAACATTTACTTTCTTCATATACATAATACATACTGTACAGAAAATACAATTAATTACAGTTATAATACATAATACATACAGTTAATTAATACAATACAGAAAATAATACGCAATTTGCTGTAATTATACTGTTACGACTCAAACAAGAAGTATAATTTTAAAACTTCTAGAAGATAAAGGTTTTTGTTTTTTTTGTGATATTTCAGCCTCCTCAATGAGCCGATCCGATTATCGGTGTATTACTGAGAAGATCCTATGTGAAGAGTTTTGCTTGGACTTTGGTTGTCTACATATCAATATTTTGTGAGAATTGTGACCCAAAAATAATCAAACTATCTAATCAAAATCTAAATCTAAATATCACCTGCATAGCACCAATGTTTCAAAATTTAATGTTTTTTCTCGCGACTGTTCCTTGTTGTTATATCAATAATTATTAATCCGTTAATAATTAAATGCTTGACTGCTGTGGTTTAATTTTTAAAAATGTATTTGAAATGAGGAATTTATTTTTCAGATAAATTTAATCAAATAACTTGGACAGCGTTCTCACTCTTTTAATAGGAAGTTGCGAATATCGGCTGATAACATGCTTGTCCTAAATTTGTTCCTAATCATGCAGATTATATGAGTTAAAACTGCTAATTTAATTTTTTGTATTATACGTTATATCAGTTCTTATAAAATTCCCATTAAAGTAAGTTTTATCGAAGTGCTAATAAAATGGCAAAAATCATAGTGCAAATGGTAGGCGCAAATTATAATATACGGGAACTATTTGAAAATGTGTGTGTGCCATTTTTTGCTATTTTGAAAATAGCAGAAATTTTGGTTTAGAGAGATTTAGATCTCAATTTTTAGGTGAAACCTATAAACATAGTAAACAAATTGCATCGCGAAAGTTAAAATTTCGATATATTTGTGATTTAGTTCAAGAATCACTGAAATATTGCCCCCCACAAATATTGCAATCAATTATTTGAGGCTTATATGAAGCGGAATATTTTCTACGGTTTTCTTCTTTCTCGGTCTTCTCTGTATATTCGAAAACTTTTCGCGTTATCCAAGCACTGATAAATTTGGACATTTCATTCAGCACTGCCTCACAGAGCCACTTACCCGAATAGCTATTCTGAACAATGAACTCAAAAATTTGCACAATACGCTTAACTTTCACAGGGCTTAGTATTCTGAATAACGGATTGTTGTACTTTTCTTCGCTAGTCTTTTGAAACATTTCATAATTTTTCTCCATCTCGTCTACTTTTTGACTAAAAAAGGAAATTCCTATTCGGAAATATTCAGAAAGTTGATTATTTTTGGGAATTATTGTGTCGATCAACTTGATAATATCTTCAGATAGATGCTTCATGATGAATTTTACGCTTTGATCTACAGCTTTCACTACCATATTTTTAACAGGTTCGTTACAAAATGACAACAAGTTTGATACTACTCTTACCAAATTACTGATATCCACTTGAGATGAATCTATTTGAATAGTTCGGAGCAAACTATTGACGGTATTAGTCAACGTAACATTATCGCCATTAATATTACTCGACGAATTGATTGACGGTTGATTACTTGTAATATCCTGTGCTAAATTATTTAAATATATTTCAGATTGTTTATGATTTAATCCAATAAACTGATTCATGTCAACCGCCATTCCATTGAACGTTATTTCACCATCACCAGCCGAATATCGTATTCCACTTTTGGTTAGCCTTTTCTGATTTCGGGTCAACGCAGCGAATACTTCGTTTTTATTTTCAATATTTCGAATTGTCGATATTACTTCGGCCCTGCCACTAGCACCATCTGAATGATCGCTCATAGTCTGTCGCACCAATTTATTAAATGTTTTCCTGAAAAAAATGTTCAATCATCAATGCCGTGCTTAAAATGTCTAGTCTAGGTATGTTTCAATTCAGCTGTTCTTCAAAGAGAGGTTTGTTTTATCGAATATTTCAGTACTCAGGACTATAAAGGTCATCTGGGAAGATTTGGGTGTCAAATCTTGTGCTTTGGAGAAATGGAGGTCATCTCTACGGCCGATATTGAAGCTGATTTTCTGTGAGTGTTTTCAGTGAGATGTGAGGTTTTTAGGTTTCAAAAGCAGGCGTTTGAATGTTATCAGTTCACAAATTTTGTAAAAGGATTCGTGTTTTATTTTGTATGATTGGTAGATTAATCTTTATACATACATTTAAGCTTCTTGACATTATTTGGGCTGTGTTTGAATCATTAAAACACTACTCGTACTAACCTGTGCCTATTGCTTCTCAATGAATTTTCATAATCTTGCAACACTTTCGTTTGAGTCTCTTCGATAATTGTCTGAGCACCCTTGAAGCTATACACTGCATGCCCAAAGAATAGTACCGACGATGCAAATTGAAGCCATACAAGTGTTGAAGGTGCTTGATCGCCATTGATCAACTGGTCACATAGTTCATACCCCGAATTAATCATACTAACGCCTCCTGCAGAAATATTTAAAACTCCAATTGTGTTGGCAGCGAACGCTCCGGCCTGAAAATGTATTACCCACAATGAAGTAAAAAGTTTGCGACGTGCATATAATATCCTATAGACGCAAACACAATGATTAAGCTCCTTTCAGGTGTTAAAGAGTAGAAATAATTAAACTGATGAAAATTATTTATTTGGATGTGTAAATTACTTTTTTATATTGATACCATTTGCATAATTACATAATTACCTGCCCAATGTTCACGCCTCTTGACACGAGTTGAGATATTAAGACGTTTGATCCAACGCCACAAATTCCTAACGTTCCAGCCACCAGATTTAAGTATGCTGCACGTGCTTCCGAATTTTTAACACTCATTGTCTAAAAGGGCATTAAAACAGATCTAAATTAGTCAGACAGATTTTTATCATGCTTACTAAAATTTAACAAATTTTAAACTTTCTAAACAATAAAAAGGTTTTTGAGTAATGATTTACCGTTTTGTTTTTATTAGAATAAGGCTTACTTGGAAAGTAAACCTAATTACCCACTAGCTAAATTTGGTAGATAGTTATCTGAAAGTCCAAATTTACTACCGATTTAATAAAACGTTCTCCATTTCTTTAATAATTAGCAATAGAGAGTAAACACGTTCACTCAAAATTGAACAAATTTAACCACACTAACCTGTGAATGCGTCGCTCGGTCATAGAGTAAATAAGCACTTCTCCCTATAGCCCACACTCCGGCACCAACCCCAGCTACTCCTGCACCAATTAAGACAGAAGGAGCAACCACTGGTAAGGCTGCTATACTTGCAGTTATCGCTATAGCTCCAGAAGCTAATCCCGCCGCACTTGCAACGCCATCAGCAACTTTGAGAGCCGTAACATCAAATCCATATGCGGGAGACATTTTCTCTTGTAATATATAATCTCCGACTTGGTACCTACAATGAATTTTGGTATTTCTGAGAATCTCAAATTCTGAATTTAACAGCGTATCATCATCCGCTTTAAAGTAAAAACGGGAATACTTTAGTTTAGCAATCAATATCGTGAGTGAAAAATGAAAGTCTGATATTATTCGGGGATTATTAGCATATTATGATATTTAAGCTATGTTTTTAGTCCGGCGTGTTAGAGTGGGCACAGCCCTCTTTCTCAAATTTCACACAAAACTTATTTAGAAAGTAGTTTCAGGGATAGAAAACAACTAGTATCAAGTCATACAGTAATCTCAAATAAGACGAACATATTATCTAGAAACCCTAATCTGGAATGGAGAACTAGAAAACATGCTGATGATGAGAACTCGATAGCATGATCTGATTCTCCAAACATGTTATCTATTTAAATTTCCGCAATCAACAGGGGGTTTTCAAATAGATTTTGTACAATGTTTTACATTAATTTTTGAATGAATTTACTACACTGTTAAGTCAGGGGGAGGGGGGTGATGTTTTACTTCATTTCTCGGAAGCAAAATGAGCAAGAAAGCTTCTTTTTCCTTCATTCCAGAGAGAATAAATGGCTTTTTTAGTGAGTGAACGAACCATCGGTAAGAAAATCTTAGCAGTTTTCTCAAAAAAGTCTTGATTTGAAAAAGCTTTAGATTTGCGTTGTTTTTTCTTAAGTTTCTCAAGCCCCATTTGAGCAGCATAATTCGTTTTGGCATCGTTGGATACAGACTTGAAAATTCGATTCATTCATCAAAACATAAGTGGGGATATTTGAGTCGTTTTGACCCAGAAAGCGAAATTTTAATATCATATATTGAGTTCCGCATTTGAGAGCGCTACTTGCTAGCTATTTTGCCGACATTAAATTATAAACTTTTCACCCTGTATGTGTAACATTAAATTTAGTTCACCACACCAAACATTAATTTGAAGTTCATATCGGAGGTGTTTTGCTTTCACACCATGTAGATTAGCAGATTTCGACACACGATTATTTCGCCAGCTGAAGACTCGGCGAGTTAAATTCTCACTTTGAACAAAAAATTATTTCAAAAATAGGACGTTGGTTCTGTACTGTACTGGTTTAGGTTTATGAATCACCCTGCATAATTTCCACTGGCCTTTTGTACAAAAAGCAATTAGTTGCAGAAATTCTTACGAAAAAAATGTGGGAACAAACTGATTTTTTTCTTTACGATAGTTGTAATCGATTTTTGACCTGAATCCCTTCTCAACCTTCGTGTTATTTTTCTATAAAACGATCACTAAAAATGTTTTCCAAGAAAACCACTAACCTGCCATTTCGTGGAAAAATCATTCTGCATTCCGGATGCTTGTTCTTTGTCAGATAGTTAGCCCAGCTACTATATACTCGCTCATCAATGTCAATAATTATCCTGCAGGGCTTTTCACTATTTCTGCACTTTCTGAGTATAAATACTGGGACAGGACTAAAATCTGATTTTGGATTATAATTGGGGTCTTTTTCCGCTTTTTTAATTTTTGCGCCGTTTAGAGGCACTAAGCAGTTGAATACAAATGCTATTTCTATATGGTCCTTAAATTCAGCTATTAACCCTAAAAGTAATATATTTTATTATACAGTGAGTTCCATAAGTAATGTATACATTCATATAAAATTCAGCGCTATTTTTTTTGAAAAATTTTTTTTAGGACCAATGATTTAAAAAAATAAAAGTTTTGTTTCTCAACTGCGCTAGCTCTTCTTTAAATTAGCAGTTTGCAAACTAAAACTAGTAGAAATTTTGATCTTTGAACCATCTTTTGGAGACACTTGGCACCACAAATGCAGAAATATTAATAAAAATGTTTCCAGCTTTATAGGTAAATATCAGTTTCAAATTGACATTTTTAGAAAACTGCGCTCTCTCCTTAAAAAAATACCATCTTCCGAACTAGTGCAAGTAGCAGTTTGATATATTCACTATATCTAGAAGACTTGGACCTTCAGATGCTCAATGTATAGAACTTTCCTAGAATTTTGATTGTTCCTTCCTTAGTACATGCCTATCTCAAAATCAAAGTTTTTACAGTTTAGTTAAATCTTTCAAACTAATGCCAGCAGCAACTTGATATTTTTACCATCCTCTACAGATGTTGAAGTTATTGAAGCCGCTGCCGGATTCTTGAAAGCTTAGCAAATGCTACCTTTTCAACAATTAATGTTTTTGCTAATTCAAACCTTTACAACAACTTAATGTTTTTGCATAAAGCATTTTTGCATAAGGTTAAAACTTATAGGAGCTCGGAAAAAAGTTGCATAAAACTTTGACCAAAAGAATTAATGCTGTGGCACTTCAGCTTGAAAGTCTACAAACACTGTACGATGCCGAGAAAAACCATATTATTTTGCTGAAATTTAACAATTTACCATCTGAAGTCGATTTTAAACAGAAACATGTGTACTGTCTAGAGCAATTCCAATGTATAAGCGCTTGTACAAAAAGGAAATTATTTTTTTTAAACTATAATCCTTACACTTAATATTACGATTAGGTACTTACTGCTTTGCTCTTTAATCACTTCGTAAAGTGATTCAATTTTTTCCTGGCTCTTCGAATCATATCCAGTATCTGTTAGAGATAGCCCAAGTGCAAAGGCGATTTTTTGTTTTAAAAGTTCATGTTCGTTGAAATAAAATGCATCATAGTCTCTATCTCCAAGCATATCTGCCCACATTTTCTGCATTTTCTCCGGACTCACGTCATTCTCACTAGACTTACTGTTTTGAATTGCGATCAATTCGTTTTCCTCTTTAATTGCTGTCGTCAGTGCAATTACAACTTGTTTTAAATTTTCTATCAAACCTTTCGATGTCATGTTTCCACGAAGGCACGTAAATGTAGATATAGTATTGCTGACCGGAAGAAGGATCGATGCAATTGCAGCTTTTTTACTGACAAAATCTGACATATATTCTAAACCTGTGTGAACACGTAAGGCACTCTTTAAGGCATCATGGTAATCAGTGTTTTCCACATCCCATCCTATCACCAAGAAGTGTTTTCTCAAAATAGCAGATACTTTTTCGTTTTTTAAACTCAGTGAAAACATTTGTGAAAATGGTTGTTCAGAATTGTGCAGAAACAGCAATAAAGCTTTTCGCTACAATAAAAAAAAGGCGAATAATAATTATATTCATCACAAAAAATAAAATAGTAATTGTTTCGACTTTAGGATCACAAGCATTAAAGCGACTAAACTGCTAGGAATGGTTTTCAGAAAATTTGCCCAAAAGTTCGTCACGCACAAACTAGTTTAAAAACTCTTTTTTTTAATTTCTGTGGATTAATAATAACTAATGTAAAATTCATTGTTGTGACTATTTCGTTTGTCGATTTACGCATTTTAGCTCAAACGGTAGTTAAAATTTGGTGAAAAATTAGGACAACCACTGGCCACTGGATTACATCAAAGAGTAATTTTGTGTAAACTATAATGAGATTAGGAGAAAATTCACTATAAGAAACAAATCATTTCAACCGTATGAAATAGCCTTAAAACTTAATTAATGCAAGCAATCTTAAATTTACTGCTGCTTGTCCAAAGTCATAATTAACGTTATTTTAAAAAGAGGCTGCTGCCCGTTTTACGAGCCTCACTATTAGAATCCCGAAAACCACAGGAGCCGAGTTCGTTTAGATTGGAGCAATGTTGCCTGACAAATGCCGTTCTAAAGATCTGGAAAAGTCTGAGTAGCTTCGAAGTAGCCGAGAAAAAACCGACATTTGGAGAACATGTTTTGCTCTTTTTCTGAGGCTATTGGAAGAGATAATCAAACAATTTATACACTCTCATGTCGACTTTTTCCCTTCTACAAAATGACGAAAGCATATTTCTAATCCGACGTTTCGATTTTCGGCATGCACCATCAACTTTTTATCTAGAAAGACAAAAATTCAATAATCTATATAAAAACTGATAAAAAAGATATCGCTATTTTATAACGAATAAAAAATTCGCTGAGAATGTATCAATAGATTTCAATTGCCCTTCAAATAGACTCAAAAAGAATTATTTGACCCAATTTAAGCGACTTTGAATCGCTTATGGATTTCGAGATTCCAACCGTGAGCCTTGTGAAACATATATCATGTATATATATATCTTTGATTATATTGGTCTAATTTCTCACCTCATCGATAGGACCAGTACATATAGAATTAATGGCGTCGCTCAAGCTACAGTGTCGGATTGTAACAGATATTCCAGACGGAAGCTTTTTTTGGAGACTTGAAATTGCTGCGAGCTCTGGGTCTAAAAAACAGAATTTTAGCTTCCTTAATTCAATTGCAATTATTTATATAGAGTGTATAAATAAGTTTTTTCTTTCTTAATTGGGGGGCCAATTTAGTTAAAAGGCATTGAAGCAAACACCATTTTCAAACAGGTTTTTTTCCATTTTTAATTAAAATTAACAGTCATCCAACGACCTTGTAGAAAAAATCTTGACATGCTGGCTGCCACACAAATTTATTATCTTTTGAAATTTTTGCCAATTCTTTGCCTTTAATAATAGTGGTTGTGTCGAGCAAAACAGTGTGTTGAATTTTAACCGTAATAATTTTGAACACATTCTTTAAGTTACACATAACCGTAGGCTGTTTGCAAAACATGGATGTAATTTTTAAGATTTTTTCAAAAAGTTATTTGAAAACATTGCTTGTTTCAATGATTTATGTAACAGTGAACATCAGTTCAAGAAAAGAATCCAACTTAGGATCAATCTAACAAATACTCATCATTTTAATCAAAATTATCACAATTATTAAACATGATACAGGGCATTATAAATGTACATACCTGTCTGTGTACCTGTGTAAGTATCTATCATACTCGTGATATGGTAATCATCGCACACTTGTTGAACGTTTTTAAAGCTTGAAATTAAAGAAGATTCACTAACGTTGCCCCTGAGGCAACAGATAAGTGAAATATCGTTGTCTTCTGGAAGAAGGCATATAGCTGATCCAACTTTATCCATGATTAAATGAGACATTGTAGACAGTTTCGCATTATGGTTCAGGACACGAATCAATGCATTATGCAGTGTATTATCTTCAACGTCCCAACCGATAACGAAACAAGTATTTCTTATAATCGAGTTTAGTTCTTCATTATATAGATGTTTAAGAAATGCTCTAGAAAATATGTCTTTGGAATTATGAACGTACAGCAATAACGCTTTTTTCTGAAATAAAATACATATACACATTAAAATTAACGCCAACGTTGGTATGATTCAGTTAAATTAGCAAAACGTGACTAACAACAAAAATATTATCAACGTATTGAATGATAATGAGCAAAATAAAAACTTACCTCGGGTAAGTCCCTCACAAAAGCAAGTACATCACTAAAACACATTGCATGAAACTTCATTGGGAAATCTTTTGGTAAATGTTGCCTTAATCGTCTGATAGCTTTCAATTCAAGACCTGAAATAGACAATATTGTTTGCTAAATTTATTTTAAAACATTTTTTTTATAATTTCATATTTTAATAATATATTTTTTTTATTTAAAAATTACATTTAGTTCATCTAAAAATAAATTAAACTAGGCAAATGATGACACAATAGAACCGGTAACTTAAGCATCTTGTTATTGCCCACAAGTGAATTGTTGCTAACAACTTCAGAGTAAAATTTAGAAATTTTTCAAATATATTTGTTGTCCATTTTGTTTGCATCAGATGGATACTTTTCGGAACAACTCACATTTTTCACCAGGGTTTTTACAAAACTTATGTATAGAGGGGGCCAACCAGTTCAGTAGCACAACAATTTTAAATTTCCTTATTTTTAAACTTTTTATCGACCTCGACATTAGTAATGAAAAAAAAAATGATTAAAAATCCATATACATATTCGATATCGGAAGTTCGAATAACCAATTCCTCATTGTCGCTGAAAGTGTCTCATCCTTATTTTGCGTATCAGTTTCACCTACTATCCATCCAACTATCACAAAATACACCAGATCAGTGATTCTCAACCACTGTGCGACTGATCTTTGGGGTGCCCGAAAATTTTTGAAATGTGCCCCCAAATTTTACAGAAGTATGTTGCATTTTTTCATAACGAGTAAAATTAAGTCAATTTAAAAATTACCTATTTACTATATACTTACGTTAACATCGTGAAATAGTATCGCTTAAAATGAAATGAAAAAAAAAACAACTTGCCAAAAACAAGATCAAGGTCAAATTTCTTATTATTAACTTCTAATAAGGATCCATACTATAAATAAAGATAAACAGGGTGGTCTAAATTCCACAGCGAAAACTTTTTGCAAGCGATAACTGCCATCGAGGGAGCACATTTCGCAAAAAAACAGATTAACGAATGTTTTTAAAGAAAAAAAAACATGCGGCAGCTTTTTCATAGAATAAAAACAACCTTTGGATTCTTCATTAGGATAAACGTTTCCATTGAATTTATTAAAACTCAGCGTTTTCCAGTAAAAAATTAAAAATGGCTGACAATCAAGCAATGAAACTGTAACATAATAAAATCACAAATTCAATCGGTGGTGTATCAAGTCAAAAAAAAACTGTTCAAAATATGGTACACCCACTTCAACACATTTGCGACATCGTCTAACTAGTGAATTTATTGCAAGCTTGCTGGATTCGTCAAACTAAATCATCTCTCGTTAACCCTGGAGTATAATAAACTTTGCTTTTTACATGGCCTCAAACCTAAAAGTCCAGTGAATATCAAGATCCGGCCAGGCCACTAGTTGAGAGATAACTAGAGAGATTAGTTTGTTCCGTTAAATTTTAAAATCCCTAAAAGTGAGTCGTGATATAAAAAACTGTTCAGAATCATTGCACAAGATACTGATTTATCCAGTGTATTATGTGATAGACAGATAGATTCTCAGATTTATGTGCATATCTGACCTGACGTGGGGACATCCCACCTTAATCCAAACCAAAAACTATAACATACAATCTTCATTTTATCCACTCGGTTGGATAAAATTTTAATCTTCTTCTCTTTAATTCTTACCCACAAAATCAGTTTCATCATCATCCACTGCAGAAACCTCAGTGTTCGAATAACGAATATCTGGATCAGTATCGGATGAGATTGGAATAGATTCAGTTTGTCTATCATCCATTGCAAAAGCCTCGGTGTTTGAATAACGAATATCTGAGTCAGTATCAAATGAGATGGATTCAGTAACCACTAAATTATTAAATTCATCTGTAGCACACGTGCGTAATATATACTGATCGCTTTCTGGAGTAGCAGACCAGCCGATAATATCCTGCTTTGTTGTTTCCACATTGAACATTCGTTGGATTTCTAACTTCAGATCCCCTAAAAACAAACAACCATATTAGGCTTTAGTTAACTGACGATGGCAGCACGGGATATAATTTTTAGTACCTAGTTTACCAGTATGGAAAACCCATGAAAAAATTATTCTTAAACTATAGGATCAACTAATTTCTGAACGGAAAGGAAATAAAACAAAAAAACTGGTCTGGTTAAAACTGTATTTCGTCGGCCACTTCAATCTACCAAATAATGAAGTTTTTATGGCGGCATTTTTGCCATTTCATAAAAGTCATGAAAAGTTATAATCTTGTGATTTGTTGGTCATATTAATCTAGTCGTAACATGATTATAGCTGTATTGTTTTTAAAATATATGGTACAGTGTTGGGCAAAAATTGATTTTTATTAAAAAAATAAAAAATCACTGATTTATTTAAATTAATCAAAAAAATCATGATTTTTTTTATTTTTATTAAATCAATTGATAAATCCGCTTAACTAGCTGTTTTAAAGTCATTGCAATTGTTGCCGAGAAGATTCAAGCTAAGTTGAACCGATTCAATACTTGTTCGACCGCGTTTTGCCCGGCGTAATCTATAAATGCCGTCGCCTTTCTTTGGTCTTATTCATTTCGTCACAAAATTTCAAGAGAGGCTAATGTTGAAAATTGTGTAGATTTTTTGTGTTTGTGTAATAATAAAAAGTCAGTTTGAAAAGAACGCAATGGCTGGAAGAAAAGAAGACAGTATTTGGCAGTTTTACATCAAAACCACCTCTTCTAGTCAGGATGCAGAGCCACTTGCAAACAGTGTAAGAAAGAGATTCAAGGCGTAGTACAAAGACTGAAGGCACACCGTGCCGTTTGTAAGAGGCAACAAAACAAACAAGGCACAACAACAAATGCAAACATCGATCTTCCGCCCAACTTTTTTGAGACTGGAAGTTCTTCGTCCTCCTTTACATTTCCGTCGACAAGCTCCAACTCACCTCCAGAATCTCCATCATCTTACACGCAAACAACTACCGATTCGGCTTCCAAGAGAAAGAAACGTGAAAGCCAACCCTCAATGTCCAATTTCATTAGGCGAACTTCAGCAGGGGAAAAACATCTTATTGACAAACAAATAGCTAAGGCCATATTTGCCACAAACTCAAGTTTTAGATGTATCGAGAACTCGGAAGTCAAGAAAGCCATTGATCTATTGAGACCTGGATACAGTCCTTCGCGAAAAACGGTCGCATCGAGCCTTCGAATTTCCTCACTCACGTTGTTACGACTGAATCGAGTTTTCCATTCTCTATCCAACGATGCCAAAACGAATTCTGTGGCTCGAATGGTTCTTGAGAAACTTCGAATAAAGGCCATTGAATTATCTCTGGAATGTTGTAAAAACGAGCCTTCTTGCTCATTTTGCCTTTTCATTTCTTAGAATTATTTGTGGTCTGTTTTATATTTTTTGAGTGGAAATATAAAGTTTCTTGAAAAAAATCAAGCCAACCCTGATATGGTATGTGCCTACTGAAAAAGTAGGAAACATATCATTATCATCCAGCTTTTTCGTACCATCGTACCATCGTATAAACGGATGCATGAGACACGGGCTTTATAATCTCTTGGACAATATCTACGTAATTGTAAAGTTCTTGAATTTCGACATTAGTTCCAATACAATATTGGGTGGTCAGTAATCGCACCATGGAGGGTCCAAAAACTTTTCAGAGAATCCTTCGTTCAAAGCGTCTCAATTTTTCTTAGTTTGCTTTGGTCCATGTCTCGCATCCATATGCAATCACTGGCCTGATAATGGTTCTACATGTCTTTATTTTTGATGTTCTCGTTAGATTTTTTGACTACTTTGGCATGGTCTACTCTTTCAAAGGATACGTATCCCTAACAAGAATCTTTGAATCTAAGAACTTACCAACTGTGTTATATTCGGATAATTCAACAACTTCTTCTCGGTGTTTGTATCTAATACAGAATATCAGTGTGCCACCTTCCATGGTTAGTTCGTTATTTCAACACCAACACTTTTAGTTGATTCACTTTTAACCAGGATCAACCGGGCGCAGAGAAATTATCACAACTCAAAAGAACATCGGGAACTAAACTTGTGTGAATCCCCTAAGAATGTCCCCTAAACCGTCTGTGGAATGTAGGTCGAATGCGTCTAGATCGCAGACTGACTACAAGCCACATACTCTACAAGCACATAAAAGATAAATAAATATATAAGGTAAGATAGATAAGATAAATACAAGTACAGCACGTCAAATTTATTTTAGTGATTTGTTTTTTTGTTGTTTTGTGAACTGTTTGTGAGCCTCTAGTTGATTAATTGGATTTTATCCGATAAAAATGATGATAATAATAATAATTCGGAAACATTTCACATATCCTCAGTTATGACAAAACTAATAGAAACAATAGAAAACATATAGAAATAGAAACCTTTCAGCTAATCATCTCAAAATAAACAACACAGATTGAATTAAATCACTCGCGTCTAGTAGTAGACCCAACGTTTATGTGGGCGCAAATCCCGACAGCTCTAGTCTATGGCGCGCAGTTTTAAACTTACATTTAGTGCTACTGGAAGGAGGAGTATATTTAAATGAATTTCAATATTTCCGTATTTATTTGAATTGTTCTTATATCTCTATACTTGTAACTTGTATTTGACTCACACCACTAGCTTTCCCTTTACGAAATTTTTTTTGTTCAAAATATTCGCCTATGTTTACTGATAATTATCCACCTTTTTATTGTATCTTTCCCTTCGACGTTTACAAATCCACTGGCATGCACTTTAATGGCATAATCGCATTTTAGTGATGCTTCGAGTGGAGCTATTTCATACTCTTCTCCAAAATGTCCGTGACTTTCAGATTTTAGATTTACAAATTATCTTCGTATTTGCATAAAGGACACATTCATTGGTTGGACCAACAGGGAGTTGTAATTCTTATTTTCTATACCTGAAATATTTAAGAGAGTTCAATTTTGTTATATTTTCGGCAATAACTGAACTATCATTCTGTAATTGTTTAAAAGAAAACCAAAATTACAGCAAATCTCATATGTCAATGATATAGAAAGAGACATTCACTCCTCAGGACTGAGGGCTGCCTACATTTTTATTTTGCCTCACTTTTATCGTGCATAGAGTCCGTTCCAGATCAGAGACAAGTCTTGTCTCTGTCCAGATACTTGAATTAGATAATTGATGTGGAATGGGGACATAACCTCATTATTTGTTTATTTATTCTTAACAGCTGATGTTGATGTTGAGTAGGTTTCAGGCCGTTTCAGGCTGTTTTGTTGGTTTTTACAATTTCTGTTTTCTCATATGAATGATTTTAATATCCAATATTTAATAGGTGGGTAAATCTAGCATTGCAACCATTTTGTTTTAATTTTAAATGGGTAAGTGTTTTAAAATAGTGTATTCTCAAAAATGTACCAAGTAATTTACTAAGATTTTACCTTAAAAATTATAATTTTTAATTTGCTATTGGAATATTTAGCAATATTGTTCCATCGCTTTGTTTGATGCAAAGCTCATCTCCAACCATCGGAAAGTGAATAGATAGCAGCGAAACGAACTCTGTTACAGCCATTAACTTAAACACAGGTATTTTCTCTATATCTCAGTATATCCTATACATATTTGTGAAAAGACGGCAATGGTAAACCTTATTTTGATACATATCTTTTTTTACATAAGGAATATGGATGACCACTCGAGGACCATTGTACATATAGACATAGACTGTTTTTACGCTCAAGTTGAAATGCTGAAAGAGCCCAACTTAAAAGATAAGCCGTTAGGAATAAGACAAAAAAATATGGTAGTTACCAGCAACTATATTGCTAGAGAATATGGAATTAAAAAGTGCATGTCGGTTGGAGAGTCAAAGAAGTTATGCCCCCAATTAGTGCTGGTGAATGGTGAAGATTTGTATGATTACAGACATGCTTCTCAGAATGTTTCAGAGCTTTTACAAGAATTCTCACACCTGGTTGAAAGGTTGGGGCTGGATGAAAATTTTATTGATATAACAGATTTAGTGAGTAAAAGAGCTGAGAACGACGTTACGGTAGTGGGATACTCATTTGGAGATAAAAATGCGATTTCATGTGACTGTGGATGTGAGCGACGGATTCGCATCGGATCTCAAATCGCACAAGAAATTAGGAATACGATATTTGAAAAGCTTCAACTTACTACTTGTGCGGGAATAGCTCACAATAAGATTCTAGCCAAAGTAGTTGGCTCCAAAAACAAACCCAACAAGCAGACTGTAGTGTATCCTAATAGTGCATCGGAATTGATCCTTAGCTTGGGAAGCGTCCAAAACGTTCCGTGGATTGGACAAGTAACTGCCGAAGCCTTGAGAACAATATCTATAAACAGCGTTGAAGACTTACAAAACTGTAGTAGAAGCCAACTAGCAAATATTTTTGATCCAGAAAAAGCCCTGAGTCTACTAAATCTCAGTGTGGGTATAGACAATACGGCTGTAAAAAGAAGTGGGAAGCCGCAAAGTATTGGCCTGGAAGATGCTTGCAAGCTCACTCAACCGAAAGAAGTGGAACTCAAGTTCCGAGTACTCCTGAAACGTCTGCTCACAATCGTCAACGAAGACGGAAGAGTTCCTAAAGTATTAAAAATCGTAGTGAGAAAATTAGATAAAACGCATCCACAAGGAGGTGCCAGAGAAACAAGACAATCCAACATAAATATTCCGCCATGTAACGAAGAGCAAATAATTCAAGTTGCTATGAGCCTATTTTGGAAAACTGTCGACAAAGCGAAAATGTTCAGTATTATTGGTTTAGGACTGTCATTTTCAAAGTTCGTGGATAAACCGAGTGAAACAAACACGTTGACTGCTTTTCTATTCAAAAATGTAAAACCACCTCGAGAGCTGAATAGTGAAATACCCGTGGAACCAAATCCTAAGCGTATTAAGCTATTTTCATCAGAAAGCTCTTCATCGGAAGCAAACTCTTCTGTTAAAATCGAGTGTCCTGCGGACGTTGATCCGGATGTGTTCAAAGAGCTGCCTTTCGACATGCAAAAAGAAGTCTGGGACGACTATAAGAGCAAAACTGCCCGAAGCAAATGTGCGCACACCAATAAATCTAGCAAAAAAACCGTACAAATTAATACTTTATTTAATTATATGACAAGGAAATAATGTGCTTGTTTTTACAAAATATAGACAGTGCCAAGTAGTGTCTTATTTGAAAGTTATTTCCTTCGTTTATAACGATATGCACTTTAAACTAAAGCAGGAAAGTATCGAAAAATTCTAATATCTTAAACAAGATATTACATGACATTTTTTTCTTTAAGATCTTAAAAATGATTTGTAAGTCTTATTTGGATGTTGCAGCTGTTAAGAATATATCCATATCAGTTGGTCATTTTGTAGATATTATGTGAAAGTTCTTATTAGTTTCAGCTTTTTGAAGAAATAGGCATTTGCTTTATGTATATATGAATTAATCTTATTAACCCAATTTTTTTCCATATATTGATTAGTGCAATGTGCAATATTTTATTTACATTGTTATTTTATGACATGTAAACATATGGACCAGAAGATTTGAGGCGTTTTTAATACAGTATATGGTAAATATGTTAAGCCAAATAGACAACATTTTGAACAACACAACTAAGATAGTGCGTAAGTAGATCCCATGGGTTTTATTGTAGAAATTTCTCTTCCGTAAATGAAAAGTGATTTTTCTTGAAGTAAAATAATCAATAAATCCCAAATCAATTGTTGAAACAGGATTTTCTTCCTTTTATTCAACGATTTTAACCGAATCTAATCATTTGTTCTATTAGGAGACCCAATGACATAATTTTTCTTTAAACGCTAATCTGGAAACCAAAATCTCAATGCATACAGGCAAATTTAACTGTTTCTCTAATTTTGGAAGGCGATTATTCGAAAACCTCTGAACAAAATGCAACAAAGTAGTAACTAATGTAAAGAGAATTGATCGTCCATGTGTCATTACAAATAAAATTTACGGGTCTTTCCGATTATTCATATTTTAAACTGCAAGAAATATATTAAGGGTGGGAAGTTTTCAAATTGACACCCGGTATATTTTAACAGTAAGACACCTACTGTATAAAATAAGTACGAAAGATATAATCAATTTACGAAAAAAATTAAATATGTTAAAACAAAAAATGTATAACCGATCATTTCTAAAACAACATTTCCATTATTTAATTAATTAAATTCTATAACAGTTCGTGATTAATCGCGTATACAGAATTGGTCAAAATAGTTGAGTAGGCACAGCTTTTAAGGGCCCATAATAATTCTAAGAAACAAATGTAAAATCTATTAGATTGTTTTATATGGAAGGATGTTTGATGTGACTGGCAGTAAAAAACTTGTCCAATATCAGATTTATTACAAAGTTGCATATCAGAAGTAAAATTTTCCTTGATCGAAAATTTAATATCTTCGAACTGTGACCCGTTTTAAAGAAACTGAATCGGATCACCTATTTTCATTCTGTCGTAAAACATAACATATATAGAGTAATGTATCTAACCTTCTCGGCTCTACAGTACTACGAGCTCAACGTTCCTATTAAAAGTGAAAATTCATTTGTAACAACCAAAGCGATTAGAATTATTCATTAGATACTAATATTGCCAAGCTAGTAGCTTGAAAACTAACGCTTTTGAAGCTATATTACTTGACTTTTGAACACCCTGCGCTATACTTATTTTATCTAATTCCTATAATCGCATTGACCTTTTATATTCAATAATACCGAGTAAATGTATGTTTCTTAGTAAACCCGTACACATGGGGAATACCATATCACCGTCTGCTTTTACATGCTACGTATGTTAATTGTTTACATCTAGTCATTCTCAGTTACAAGTTATACTTGCGATTATGGCTCAAAAAAGCTTTGAAGACGGTGTGAGGGCCGAAACGAGTATCTTTGGCCACTTTCCGACCAATGTGCTTAGATTTAGTTTAAATTACTTGGCTCGATTTGGAATTGCCGGAGTTGTTGTGTATTCTTGTTGGATTGCTTTCTACAATTACAACTATTGGTTTACATGGCATGTGGTTCTGTGTACTTTTGGAGTAAGTTAATATTTGTAATACAAATAATTATTGCAATGTATAACCATACGCACAAATTTGCTTTTATTATTTTTAAACTTCTGTGAACTGCTTATGTTAGTTTTTGCTGAAACTTTTTCTGTAGTGGTTTGTATTTATTATTGACCAGCGCCAAAGTGTGTCTTAAGAGAGCGAAAAATTATTGAAGCATCCCATTCAATCATTTGGTAATTATCAAACACATTTTGGCCAATAAGTGATTTATGAAAATCACTATTTTTTATTGATTGTCTTATATTTCTTCCATTTAATGATTTTCGTTTATGAAAGTTTTCGCTATATGAAATTTATTTAAATAAATTTGCCTTGAGTTTTGTGAACTACATTTATCCGCGTTTATTTTGTCGAACAGTTTGGTTTTTGTAAGTTTTTAAGTAAGTCAGAATGTGAATGTTTCAATAGAATAACCATTGAAATTCAAAATATTTTGAATTTTAGTCATGTTTTTGTTCCCCATTACTATAAATTGAAATTATGTCATCAATATATCTGCATTAAAACATTGGTTTCACTTAATATAATTTTTTTATAGTTGAAACGGTCGGGAAATTTTATTAGAAACGTTGTTATGATTAAACATGTTTTTGCGGTATTGTTTGTTCGTTCAAATCACGTCACAACTAAAAAATTCTACATGGTGTTTCAAGTCCAGATGTACATACTTGAATTATTCATTCTACGCTGATTTAAAACATACTCATTCTGTTTAGAAAGTAGGGAAGAAGCAATAATTTTCACTTCGTTGGTATCTTTATTTTTCTGCATCATTCACAAAAGCTTTGTTTTGATCTTACTTTTTGTGGAATAAAACCAATTTTGATTCCAAAATGCGACTCAGATAATGCGTTTTTGCCAATGTGCACTTGTTTTCAGAGTTAAAGCGTTTAAGTCACGTAGTAGATAATAGAGGTGATAAAATTATATCTTATCTTGAAGAAAGGAACATCCGATTATTCGTACATGGCTGATCACGTTTTACATATATATATATATAACACAGTGTTTTCTTCACTAAAAAATATTTATTAACCGTATTTGGATCAATGTAAAATCAAAAGCCGGTTTTGTTTTGAAGTTAAAGTGCGTAAATTTATTTCCGCGCCTTCCATATTATTATCCTGATTGATAACTTGATATAGTTATAGTTATGTAGAAAACCTAAGTGATTAAACAAAGCCTTCGATAAAGATGTAGCTTTGTTTCTCTTGTTTTAGTTTCTTAAAGATTATATTTTGTTTGAAAAAATATATTTCAGTACATACCATTAATGGCAGAATCAGTAATGCTGTTCTTAGGAGACGAGCTTTGGTCTCGACAAATGACACGGACTGCAAAATACACCATTCATGGAATCATTGTTTCGTTGGCCACAGCCTTAATTATTTGTGGAGATTCAGTGGTATTTCATTATATCGAACCTGGACATCATCTTTATACCGCACATGGTATAACCGGTAAGTAAGTACCTAAGACACATCGATTCGAAAAAAACGTACTCACTCCGAATCATCTTGGAATTGAAACTTTATACGGAATTGTTGAAGTGAAGAATCCGGTTTATATAAGAGTGGACTAATGCCATTATTCTCTATAACTTTGTGGCTGAAGCGATTTCTATTTTCTTTCAACGCGCATGGTATTTATCATCCCCAAAGCTGCATTTCCTCTGGTTTCTTATCTTTTTATTAATACTAACATATTTCTTCCTCTTTGATTTTTGCGGAATCTCAATCGAGAACTCCTTATTTTAAAAAGCGTAGTCAAGATTCATCTTCAGCTACTTCAACTTTAGTCCACTTCTGCTTTAAGGTTGTTTGCGTTTCCATAAATCATCAAAGTGCTACAACCTGGGCACTAAATTTTATGCTTAAACGCGCAACTTTAATCATGCTTTAAATTATGTTTTCCGCCAGTGAATTTACAGCCTTTTTAAAGAGTTGCAGCATGGATCGAGCGACACTATCTTCATTTTCATTTAAAGTCTCTTCATTTTTAAAATTTTTATTAATAGTTTATAATTTACTTAGGTTTGATCTCACTAATATTCCTGGTCATTTCGATTCCGGTGGGATTGGTAATCAAATACCATCGAGAAGTGAATCCTTACCTTCCGTTCCGCTTGATCTGGTACAAAGCGATCCACAACATCCTCGGAATTTTAGGATACGTAATCGGTATAGTGAGCTTATGTTATGCGTTTTATACAAATTGGTTCATTTATTACACTACTTATGAATCGCGACTACTGGCGTTAGTTGTGACCATTCTAGCCAGTCTATGGACCTTAAATGGTGCTGTTTTGTCTTTGGCGCACCAAATTAAATCAGTTTTTTCTTAGAAGGCCTATAATCTTTAGCTAGTTATTTTCATATTTCGTCCTGTTTTTGTTTTAATAGGGCATCTATTCTTTTTCCTATTCCAAAATATCATGGAACGATTCTATTTTGGAAGGAACAGGAAATTTTCATTATTTGTAAGCTGTCTTGCTGAAAATGTTGTTGAAAAAAAAAGTGTTGATATTATTTTGTACAATAGTTGAGTTTGGATAGAAAAATGTGCATCCAGTTAAAAATTCCTTGTGTGATATATTTTTAGCTAAGTCGCATTAATCAAATTAAATATAAAACTGTTGTAATTTTAAGAATTCAGATATTTTTCCTTATTGGGGGGCCCAAAATTTCCCATGGTGCAAACCTACCGTTTATAGATTAATTATCACAGTGACTTACTTTGGACAGTTATTATATTTCAAAGAAACTAAAGTATGAACCAGACTTCTGTGTAGTCGAATAAGTTTTGGAAAATTAATTGCTTTTTGTGCACAAATCACGCATGTAACAAATTGAATTTCAAGGAAAATCTGGTACATGTAATCGATCTTTCTAGGAATAAGAAAATGTAATACTGCTTTAAAATACAGAATTGTTCATCGTCAATTGACGGAAKAAAAAATCCACCTGTTCAACGATTTTTTTTTAGCATATTAAACAATTGAATTTTATAACTGTGCATTYCCGATGAAAAGAAGCAGTTTATTTTAACTTTTATCGACAACGGTTTGGAAAAATGCCCAAACTCGTAAATCTTACTTGTAATTTTYGTCGCGGTTAGACTGTTTACGATGGTCGTAATTTTGTAAAGCGGAAGTTTTTGAACTTTTGACAAAGTTATTTTGGTCTAATTTTTGTAATAGCGTCTAACCACAGTCTAACCGGTTATGGAGACCAACAAGAAGATGTTTTTTTGTTCGTCAACGTGATTTTTATGTCAATTTTCTCCATTATTGCGATTACACAATTATTGAAAAACATTTTTTTTTGACTACGCCAGCGCTCCTTCAGCAAACGCTACGAACGAAAAAATGAAACAAGTTTTTGCGGGAAAGTCTGGAAAATCATCTCTTTCAGTCCAGACTTACCACCTTGTGCTTTTTATATTTTCGATCCCCTGAAGAAGAGCTTATAGGATAGCATTTATACGAAGCTCTTAATCCACGAGGATTGTATTGTGTGTATTGTATTTTGRAAGACGGATATTATGTAGAAAAATTGTACATTTTATAATATACAGGGTGTCCCATAATCACATTATCAAAATGGAACTGCGATGTTCTTTGCATCAAAAGAAGACGATCTATCCTAATTTTTATTATCAAAAAATGTCTGGCCCCTCTGCTATTGATGGGCAAAGTTCTTCAAAAAAAATATCTTTTTTGAAATATCTGGAGAATAGTACGATGTATTTTGGGGAAACTCGCTGTGAATTTGTTCTTATGTAAGACTCATATTTTGATGAAACAATCGAGATCAGCTGTTTTGGACAAGTGGTTGATGCAGTAATCATTTATTCACAATTTCGTGCTCTTTCTAAAATCTTGTAGCATTCATAGTTTTTGGGCAAAAAAAAATCTGTTTTTGTGCCACTTAACAATGTTAAACATTGTGTATTGAAAAATAGAAATGATTTTCTGTGAAAACGTATATTTCATTAAATAATACAAGCTACTACATATAATACTTTTTACTATCGGGTAATAAATAAGGTACATTTGATTACTATTATCTTTTTTGTTTGCCAAACTGCAAAACCCAGCTATTTGAGTTTTAAATTACTCCTTAGTTGATGGCAGTGTTTGAATTAATGCAGAAAGATGTTGTAAGTTAATGAAAGTGTAAGCTATTGTCCTAGACAGTCGCAAGCTTCTGATATTTACAGTGATATCCAGTTTTCGTTGAGAAAAAACTTCAATTTTCCAGGGCGACTGCAGGTTTACGTAGTCTTAAATTATAAAACAATCACAGAGAACTATTTAAAATTCTTTTGGAGTATTCTTGTCCAACCTGAAACCGCCTTTTCCGTTGCTCCTAAACAAGTTTAATTAGTTTTTAAATTGTTTCAGGTGTCAATGTATACCTAATTGTAAAAAACGTTTATTCTCATTTCACACTTCTTTCATCCGTTTTAAATAATTGCTCTAGTATTATATTGGTGATATTCATCCCCTGCCATAATCAGAGTGTTTCATTGCCTTATTTTAACGCCATTGGATGAATATCTTTACACCTATAAACATAGACACTTGTTAGTAAATCTATCAGTTCCATCTGCTGGGAAGTCGTCTAGCCCAGGTCTAGATTTAATTAAGGGTTTTCAAGTCCAGTTTATTCAATTTGGTCGTGTTGGGATCGTCTGCAGGAATCACAGCAGTTCTTCGTGTAGAACGGGTAGCTGCATAATCGAGCTTGAACTGCCATTCTGCATTTCGGTATACGGTCGATGCAGGATCCTAAGTTAATAAGCCATTTACTTTTTTTTAATGTTTCAGATGGTTTGCCTTTTGATTTAGCCATTAAGTTATATCAAGTGGCATTTTGGTTTAAAAAACGTCGACAATACTTACGGTCTACGGGTTCATCTTGAACCAATTTATAGTTGAAACTATCTCTATTTTCTCGGTGTATCTCGCACGCGCAAGAGCGCTTTCCAACCGGCACTTTATCTTCAGGACAACGATTTGACGGACGCTTATCTATATCGAGGCATCTCACTTCTCTTCTTTGCACCCCAGATGGACAATTGCCTTCACACTTTCCCCAATCGCCAGTAAACCATTGGGGATGACAAACACCTATAAACAATCGGGCTCTTATGGATGAGGGACAGTTTGGAGGGTGGTCATTGCCAAATGTAATTTAATCAAATTAGGCCCTTACCCAGGCAGGATTGCTCTTCGTACGGTTTCAAAGCAAGGGGACATACCATTTCATTGGTGACATGCGCGACGCCTCGAATCTTTGCAATGCAGAGGACTTCTCTTCTTTGCGTTGCTGGGATGTTGCAAGAATCAGAACATTCCCCCCAAGGACCTGGATTAAACAACATCTTTCACAGGTTGTCTGCGTTAAATTGGAACTTATCGAATAAGGAATTCAAGAAAAATGAGCTCACATTAGTCATATGATACTACATGTTATAAAATTTACTAGGCCTGGGTAACTCAGTGAGTTTTTTCGAGTTGGCGCAGTGTAGCGCAAATGGCTTGGTGCGTCAACCCAACGCACTGGCGCAGTAACTGGATTCCGTTGCCGGGGATTTGTTGATGACCTGTTTTCAGTTGTTTTTAGATTTATTTTAACGGCCATTTATTAATTATGTTTTTAAATTTCTTCAACATTTCAGAATTTTCCAGTTTTAGCAAAGTTGCTCTTTCTTTCTTCTCTTTCTAAAGTTTCACTTAAATAGACATTCTTAAGGTATTTTCTGCAAAAAATTATTTTTTTTTATTGGAACACTCGCCTCCTTGGTCGATTTGTAAACAGTTTTGAAATCCCTTTCCAGCTTCGCATTTCGGACAAAAATCAAATGTTTTTCCGATCATTTCCGAAATCAAAAAACGAAGAGGAAAGTTTATAATATATTACATTTAGGAATGTTTTCCGGGCTTGAAATTTGGAAAACTTGTCACCCCCGGAAGACTGTAAAAATTGTTAGAAGAGTTTGTTAAAAAACTCTGGGTTTTCAGTTTTGACTTAATGTTTTTCTTGCTTTATTTTCTACTCAAAAACGCTCTATTTTGAAGAATTTTACTTAAAAATACTCACAATCTGAAAATCTTAGATCTTAAGATAAATTTGTAGCATTGTAGGGATTTTATAAAAACTTTTTTGAGTGTCGAATTAGAGACGAAAATAAATTTCTCCCGTTTCTTTTCGAAAATCATTAAGATTTTCTCAAAAACCGATTACCAAACTAAAAGTTTTTAACCAAAAGCTCAAAAACCCATTATTTTCTCATGCTTCTCCTCTTTCCTGACAATCATGGCGTTTTTTCAGCCAATAATTACAAAATTAATTCTGTTACAAAATTCGCCTCATGCATCGCTTTGCACGGAATTTTAGAAAACCCTTTCAGCTTCAAATTTGGCACAAAAAGCAAGTTATTTTATTTGGTTTTTCACCTACAGTAATTAAGATTATCTTGAAAAACGACCAGAGAGCAAAAGTTTACAAAAAATCAATTGAAAAATTCGCCACCCTTATCGCTCTTTTTTTAAGCAATTATTTCTACGAAAAAAAACGCATTATTTTCTGGTTTCATTTCAAAATCCTTACAATTTTCAGGTATTTTCTGTGAAAAATTATAAATTAAATGTTATTGGAACACTCGCCTCTTTAACCGCTTTGTAAAATTGTGTCGAAAACCTTCTGCAGCCTCGAATTTTGTACAAAACCCTAATCATTTGTGCTGGGTTTTTCCAAAAATATTTCTTCGAACAGAACAAGCGAAGGTTTATAAACAGTTAAAAAACTCGCCACCAACGTCGCTGTGAATAACTTGTTTTCTTTAAATTCCGGTTTCTTCAATTTTAGATCAATAATTCGAAACAAAACTCTCTCTAAGCAGAAAAACGCTATTTTTCCTAACGTTTTACTTTAAAATATTAAACAGAGAGTTTTATGCAAAAAAAATTAAGAGATCGATTTTAGAGCAAAACTTGTCGTCTTTATAGTTTGAACTTCTATATCATCTTTTTCGAACACCCGTTTTACCTTTGAATTTGCGACAAAATAGAAACAAAACCCATTAACTCAGAGAGCGGCAACAACTCAAAAGCGCAACTTAGCACAGTGTTACCGAGGCCTAAAATTTACAATGTTTAAGGTTATTTAATAGAAACTTTATTAAATAACTTTTATAAGGTTGTATCTTGGTAGGGAGGATTTCTAGAGTTTTGTTTTTGTAGGAACCTATGTTATTTTCACACCCTGCATATGTTTCCGAAAGTACGCCCACATTTTCCTGGACACCACCCTATATAGTAGGTTAAATGGTTAAAAAGTGCGATTCGCACAGTTTACCTGCAAACCATTGACCATCGCACTGTTTTTCGCTGGAACAGGCCCTTGATATTTCAGGTTTGGAGTCTGCACCACAAAAATCGTGCTCGCAAAGAGCGAATCTAGTTTGGTTTCCTATTCCTGCAAAGAACCAAAGCAAATTGTAAGTGACTGATGTACGTCGTATGGATGAGATTCTTTTTTAATTGCGGTTGGTTTCAAACCAAAATATGCTTTATTGCCACAGAAATATTTTACAATGGAGTTTTATGGACAAAGAGAGAGAGAATTGAACAGTATCTCGAGGTCGTATCTTGAATTTACACCAAATTCAAAATATGTTTTATGTGTAATACTCGTTTCCTATACCCAAGTCTACCCGTTTTTGATACATTCGAAATTGTATGTAAAAAAGTACAGCTGCAGCCAATCCAATAATTATTCATTTTTCCTATAAGGGAATATGAGCTACTTAAATTGAGACGCATTTCTTGTTGAAAAGGACGTATCTGCATCTGCACTACATCGGAAGAAGAATGTATCCATCTTATACGAAAAGTCGCAGAAGCAAGCAACGAGGCAGGCCTGCAGATAAACAGAAAGAAAACCAAAATAATAACAAATCTGAAGGAAAAAGGATGAAATATCCAGACAGCTGACGCTTTCATACATCTTGGTACCACAATCTCGAGCGAGGGCGGATTCAGCGAAGAGAAGCGCAACAGCGAAATAATTCATGACCAAACTAACCAAAGTAAGAAAAAACCTTCACATATCCCTTAACACCAAAATCAGATTGGTCAGAAGCTTGGGGTTTTCAGTCTTTCTATATGGATCAGAATGCTGGACTCTAAAAAGGACGGATAGGCGTACGATAGATGCCTTTGTTGGCACAAAATGCTGAGAGTGTTCTGGACTGAGAAATGAATCCATTCTGAACCAACCCAGAATTAAGAAGAGATTGAGCATTGTTGTAACGGAGAAAATTGCTAAATTATTTGGTCATGTGGTTATAAGAAATGGTCGGGACTCACTTTGGAACGGACAGTCGCCTACAAGATAGATCTTATAACCTGCAGTAATGGAACTTTCAAAAAACCATTCCGTTCAATTTTTGCGCGACTTACCACATTGTACTGAACAGTGAGACCACTCGGTAACCAGCCACGATGAAATTCCACTTCGATGAGTAAACTGGGGCGACACTGCAATTTTGGGCTGTGAGGGTGAAGGGTCGTAATTCGAAGAATCACAAGAGCCCTGATTGCAGTACTCCGCATGTGCTGGTCGATTCTCAGGATGGCACTGTCCCGAAGGACAGATGACTGACCGTGTCCTGTGTCCATTTCCACATGTCACTGAGCACTATGTGAGTGTTAAGCTGTTAAACAAATCGTTGCTGCTTTTAGGCAAAGCTCAGTGGCCTTACCGAGGACCAGCTTCCAACACTCCATTCCTTTCTGCTGATAATTGCAGGTCTGCCAGTCTCCGCCGTCTGGGGCAGTTCGTTATCGGACAGTCCTCTAAACAACTCGCACTCCCGTTCCTGGCAGGCTCTGGTTTCTGGGCTTGGCTTGTTGGGAGCGCATTGCACATCACTAACAACGATCAGTTTTCCTACAAACGATATTTTTCTTTGAGAATATCGTGTTAGTTGCACTTTTTGCTAACCATTGAGATTGCGTTTGCACTGCGGAATAAACTGCTGAACGCCTTCTCCACATGATACTGAGCACTGGCCCCAGAAGCCATCCCAATAAGCTGCGCTGCATGGCTCTTCGTTGCAAGAAATCGGCGTAAGGGCTGGAGGGTCCAAATGGGCGCATCGTTTTTCGTTCATGGGAATTTGATGCGAGGGGCTAATGATTCTGTAGCAGGCGCGAATGTAGGTTTTTGTGCCTGGGAACGACGAATTCGATTAAAAACAAGCCCTTAGTGGACCTGGAAGTAAATTTAAAATTTTTGACAGTCCTCCATAGATCCATGATACTTTAAAAAAATTAAATACTTTAGCCGCAACCTTCTGATTCGTATAATCTGAATCGATATATCGGGTTTTGATATAGAATCAACGAAGAATAGATTAACTCGCTAGATTTGGTGCTACTGGAATACTTTCGTCTAGCTGGCCCGTCAAACCTTGTTCTGCCATATAAATTATTTCTAGTGAATATTTTGGTTGTTATATAAAAAATAACAAATGTATTGTAAGTGTGTGGGGATCGGAAATGGAGTGGAAATAAAAAACATCGCAGAATGATGTCCTGGCCACGTCGAATCATCATACGATACGCATAAAAATCCATCGACCCCAGACACCCTAAGCACCTAGCGGTATGAATTATACTTTACCACCTATTCTGATACTTACCAAATATACATAAAAAAATTCATAAAAATCGGTAGAGCCGTTTCGGAGGAGTTCGATCACAAACACCGTGACACGAGATTTATACAGGGTTATTCACGCTATACGGCACGTAAGTTAGCGGCCAAACCGTTTGATTTTTAAAAATTATTATTTGATGAATTTTCCGACGCCTACCGGGCGCACATTTCAAAAATATTTACGTAATGTACAGGGTGTCCCAAAAGCTCTAAAAGTATTAAAGTTGCGTTTTTTTTAATGGAATGTCCTGTATATTAACTGAACAAAATAGGTGTCTGTTTTAATAGGTTTATAATACCTAAATCTTAAGGTTTTTTAAATAATACGGATTTAATCAAAATCTAATCTAATTTTCATGTGTCCAAATACTTTAGAAGTATTTAAGTTATGTAAGCGTAATTTATAGTGAAGTATAACAACGTATAATATTATATATCCCAATGATAATAAACTTACCATGTTATACAGAGTGTCCACAAATTTAAACTAATCAAATAAGAACTTTGAGTGGCTCTAACTTGATTAATTTAAATACAACCCCATATTTTTTAACTTA